GGGAGCAGGAACGTCCCGCTACACCCGTTTCTGCACAGCACGGGGAACAGCGGCACAAACGAGCTGCGACTCCGCGGCAGCAGAGACACTGTGCACCAAAGCCAAAATCCCCAGGAAGGTGTCACGGACGCGGCCAGGCTCCGCACCGCTCTGTGCAGCCCTCCACTTGCCTTGGCGTCCTGCAGCACGGGAGCTTTGATTCTTCTGTGAGAATCGGCACCGAGCACCGTTACAGTCACTAGAAAACACTTCTCTCTCCCCATCACAAATACGCAGTAAAGATCTATGCTGAAATAGTCTGGAACACTTGCATTTCTTGACATGCCTCGGTTTGAATCCTCAAATTGCTCCTTCTCCCCTTACAGTATTAGTGGGTGACGGACAAGGTACCATCTCCATGCAGAAAAGGGGATTACAGGACTGCATTAGTTTGCTACAATATCTGCAGCAATGCTCGGAGGGGTTTCAAGAAACCAGCAGCAAGGACGTGCATTTCCAATTTGTGCCATTTAGACAAAGGTCCAGATCTCAATAATTTGGCTCAGGCATCTGCCAGGATTTTCATTAGAGGAGAAGGAGGAAATCTGAAAATTCCAAACACAATGAGGAACTCAAAAATCTCTGGAAATAAGTCAACTTCTCATGTCTCAGCATTTTCATTTTGGATGACTTAGGATTTTATTTCCAAGCCCTTTTGTAACTGCCTCCTGCCTGCGGTTTTGCTCTCATTTCTTTCTATTCCTCCAACTTAAAACTACTGCATGCTCCGGCTCTGGATATCAAAACATCCCTCGTGACTCTCCCATACAGACTTCTCGCCTCACCCGAGCTTTTCTGGAATGAACTCATGGCAGGAGCTTTCCCACACAATCCACCAAAGCACCGGCAATAAAGTGAAAACATCAAGTACACTTGAACAAAAAATGATGATCCTTTGAAGAGATATAAAATTCTATAGAATAAAAGCCAACAGGAATGCTTTCCTACTTCTTTTTATATACAATAAATAAATGAATTTAGGAAGTTTAAAGGCATATCCTGCATTCTCCATTTCTCCTCTTACACAAAATGAAAAAAAGGCATACAAACCATTGCATATGCATTATATCTGGATTTAAGTGCAATTCAGAGTCAGACACCTGAAAATTGATGGAGATTTTCTACAATTCTGTTTGAAAGAAGTGGGGAGGCTGGTTTCAAAGCATCATCCCAAAGTCATCAAGCATGAAACTCTGCAAGTGCCAACTGTTTTGAGAATTCCAGCAAAATGTCACTTTCAGCTCCATAATTCTCAAGTGTCCCTACTTGCCCCATTTAACGGATGGAAAAATGGGCAAATTCAGGGGAAGGCCTGAATTCAGCTCCATGGCCTGTGCTGAAAGGATTTATCTTGCAAGGTATGGCACGTATTTCATTGCTGGAATGACTGCAATCGCTGCAGACAATGCAAACAGGTAAGTTAGGCATTCACTGACATCAACGGACCATCACTTAAATATGACACTCGACGCAACCCTGCAGCAAGCGACAGAAAAGATAAGAGCAATAGAAATAAGGTCGTGAGACTATCTGAGATGGTTACACACCCCCTACGTAGTTTAGTAGCATATGACTTAAGCAAAGACACACCGAGTTTCCAGACTTGGGGTCTGTGTTGAAGTAGTATACCAGAACAGGGTTTGGAGTTCAGACCACCGGATCCTATCCCAAAGTACCCTTCTGTAAAATTTGCCTCCCAGAATACATTTTTCAGCCTCCTGTGCGGGAAAGGGTGTAACACACACAAGGTTTGAGAGCAAGGTTAGTCCTCCATTCAGTCACCATGCGAGAAGACACAAAACTTTTGTAAAAATGATTGTACGCCATGCAAAAGGCTCGAGTTGGCAGGCTTCATAAATACTAGGCGCAACTCCTATAGCACTTCTCTGTCTGGGACTTCTGCTAATACTAACAGAATTCAGTGACGGACTTGCAGGTGTACCTGTTCTGCAAGCAGATGATCTTCACGGCACTCAGTCCCTATTTATCTTTGCACGCAGGGCTCACCAGCAAGTTTGAGTTCCACGGCTAAGGTGACTCACGTCTGCTGAATACCCTGTCAGCTGAGTTCTCCCTGGCCTGGAAAACAATGAGGCGTAAAAAGCGCTGGAGTTGTTAAATGGTGAATGCGGGTGTAGTCCTGGACACTGTAGGAAAAAATCCCCTTTCACGATCCCCTTTCCAATGGCTAGTTCTTCTCATTCACACTGCTGGTGCCTTCCGGGACAAAGAGGTGCTGAGCACTACAGCATCTCCGCAGCTGACGCAGCCCTCCCTCTGTTAAAGGCAAAGCATGTGTGCCCGTCAGTGCCACTGGTCTGCTGCTGCAGTGTGGGCACTGCCTTCCGCACGGAGAGGAGAGGAACAGCGCACGTTTCCTTACCTGTCTGACAGTCCTTAATGTCTGACAGTCCTTAACGACACAAAGCCTAAAAAATGTATTGTCTGAGCTAAAACACTACCGATGGAGGCCAGACTTTTGTAGGGGATGCAAAAACCACTGTGCCTTCCTTTTGGCCCAGTATTTGCAATATTGGCCATAGACACTGTGGAGTTGCTTTAGTACCAGATTGACATTTTAACCTGACGGATAAAGACTCAAATTCCACTTTTCAAAAGCAATTATTCAAAATGAAATGAAAAAGAAACCACACCTCAGTGAATTTGAAATGCTATTCAGAAATTCCTTTCATGTTGGAGACAAAGTTACAGGCATGCTTTGCCCAGAATATGTAGACAAGTATTTGTCACTACAGAAGAAACAAGAATTTGTTCATACAAATATCGAAACTTTTCCTCTACTTGATTGCTTCTACGTCGTCTTTTCTGTGTCTCAGTTTTAAAACCACATAAATTACTCCTCCCCATATATATGTTACTTGACTTTGGACATCCAAAGATGACGTCACCAGTATGGATGATGTTGTCAGATGGCAGAGATTAAGCTAACCACCCGCCACGAAAGATTTCACATTCCAAGTCTAATTAAACAAAAGCTCACTGTTCAAACAGCATTCAGCTCATCTGCTCCAATCATCTACAACAGCAGCAGTTATTCAGCGCCAACCACACAGCCTCATTTACCAGTAAAACTTAAGCCTTAAAGAGGCTGTCATTACACAACTCAGAACATGGAATTAGATCAAAAAGTCTGCTTGGGATGGCAAAAGTACTCACAACTGACTAGTACTACTTAACCACAAAGCACATTCTGCACCACCACCAGAACCACCAGCTGAATGCTCTGTGAATGTAGTGCTAACTCGTAATTGCAGTATTTCTGTCCTGACTACATCTATAATCCGTATTTTGAAGACCAATGCAAACCAGTATGTTTTCACGCTCAGCCACAAAAAAGTTTCTTTAATGAACGTGTGGGTATTTTTAGCCTTAAAAAGGCAAATAAAATCAATGCATCAGGCAGTGATTTGTTGTGCTTTAGGAAAGCAAAATTAGATCCAAGAAAGGTGTTTAAATATTTTTCTTCCGGGTTATTTAAATTAAACTACTTTCCATAATCGCTTGTATTTTCCAGAAAGCATTCACTTTCGTTGTTAAGATAATTCTCTCTCTCACCTGTCACACAGACAGCGAGCAGTATCTCTGAAGGCCCATTTAGTTGCTCCAACCGCTCCATCTCCAGGACGGATCGAGCACGGTGTCTCTGCGCCCGTTTTCAGAAAAGTCTCTGCTCCCTCCGTCGACGGACACGCTGCTGCGAAAACGCCCCGCTCCGAACTGGAAGCGCCTTACAAACAGCTCCGGTTGGGTTCGGTTTGGCTTTCGAGGTGCCACCGTCGCGCCAGCGGTGGTGATGGAGGACCCCGTCCCACACGAACGGGAAAGGCACCGAGACGCTGTCTGCAACTGCCGCACCGGCACCAACCACCTCCAGTGCCTTTTCCTATCAAAGCCCTTTACCTTTACGGATCACCAGAACACTCTCACATATAAAACATGTCATCTCCATCTAAGAAAATCTCAAACAGCAACACAGAAATAATCAAGTTTCCAATAAAGGTAATGACTGAGTGGAAAACAGAAACCCGCTTCCTCCCCCAGAGCCTTGGCACTCAGGCCCACGGGCGGCTGCCGCTGTTGGCACGTTTTTGCTTTGCCGGGAGGACCAAAACCTGCTAATTCAGGCTTCCTCACCAGCCTTGGTTTAGGCTGTCTTACTTCGGGTAAGACTCATTGGTCCCGCTTACATTCAGTGCTGGCAGAAAGCGGGACAGGGACACTGCTTAGATGTATTTTTTTAAACTTTAAGATAAAAGAAGGAGTTTTACCAGGGACCGTATTTCTGTTTCAAGCTAGCGCCAGGTTGCTGCCCCAGTACGGCAACTCTCCACTTCTCATCAGTAAAGTCATGACCTTCCCCTCTTTGTCCAACATTTGAACGTACCCCAGTAAAACCTCCATGTCCCTGCACACCGTGGGACCAGGAGATTATTCTCACTCTTTTATTCAGGATCTCTGGCTGCAAAGTGCACAGCGCCTATCGGCACAGAACGCAACGCCACGAGCCCTACTGCTATGAGCGCTCTGGCAGGAGTGTCGCGATACCACGGGTACCTCTCCTCTGCGCCACCCACTTCTTCATCTGAAAAACAGCAAATGGAGGTATAGGGGCTACTGCAGAGGAAATGCCGAAGTTTTATGATTTTAACATTAATTTCCAACTAAATAACAGTTAAAAGTTACAACAGAACAGCACTTTCAGGAAGCTTCAGAAAGCACTCATGACGATTTTGCAAGAATGATTATAAAAAAGATACATATCCCAGTCAATCTCACAATTGGAAATGACTTAAAATGTTTTTGAGTTGCCATGGAATTCGATATTAGCACAATAACTATCATACACAGTGTTGCCACTCTGAACAAGAGCCAAACAAAGCATTATCTTTAACTTTGGTGACATCACCAGATGAAGTTGGTTCAGTGCATTTCCTAATTGCTCAAATCACCATTTTATTGCAACTGACTCCTGTCCCAAGGGAGATTTGGGCATGACCTTGGATGGTATTCTAATCTGAAGATGTGAACCTGTCAAAAATACGGGTTACACAGCTCCAGTAGCTCTGCTACCAGTTATAGCGTATACGCATCTCCATAGTTTGCTTCATCGTGACTCTGAATGATGTCAGTAAGAGCTGTATGGCTGAGTTTTAGCAGCACCACCTACAGAAGTCTGAATTCTCAGCTTTCTAATCGAGCAACCACGTAACCAGTCAGCTGTGCAGAAAGAGTTAACCACAAGCAGCATATGCTCTCAGCCGAAAAAGCACCATGTCATATTACCAGGAACCTGAAGATGCTCAATGCCTATCAAGTCATTCTATCTAATTTCGAGCCAGTGTGGATTGTTCACCCACATTATATTTTATATTGTCTTGGTCCATTTCATGTTGTGGTATCAGAAAGATCTGTTGGTATCTACTGATGCTCCCTTAACCATAATGAATTATTCTTCCCATTTTACAGCATATACTACTATTCACTAATCCATAATACTGCAGCAGAAAGCTTTGGAAAGTGTCAGGTAATTATATCATAAACAGTGTCTCCCTGTTACTCCAGAAGACAAAGTAGCTCAGGTAGAAAAAGGTGTTCGCCACACTGGATCTGACCAGTCAAACTACAGGCTGGCAAAGGGATTTCAATCTACGACACTGAGCCTTGGTGTCCTTTTACTCCCTGCTAGGAAAGCAACTCTCACCCGCAGAGAAAAGCCAGTAACTTGAGATAACATTAAGTATTCAGTGTGAGCACATAATCCTCAAATGACCAAACAGCACACTTGCTCAAGAAAGTATTAGCAAGCTTATTATGGAAAGTTAATGTGTTTCGTTTCCTGTCTGTCAGACAGGAGGACCTGTTCAGACTCAAAAAACCCACCGGACTACACTAAAATAGACCTATTTAGCAAAATCTATAATTACAGTGCCACTAAATTTCCAGATGTATAAAAGTCCTTTCCAGAGGGCACTTTTCCTTATTTTTGTGATCTGTCAAGAGCAAGGAGCTTCCCTGATACCTGTAGATGACAGCTTCTAGAGCCTGGGGGAAGGAAAGCCTCCCTGACCCAAGGCTGTCTGTGGGCCTTTGGAAAAAGAACTGTGCAGAAGAATCACACCTACACTTCTCAGCTGAAAAAGATTATCTTTCTGAAATCAGACACAGAGAAGTACTGCAAGTTGAAAATGAGAGAAAAGAATCGACAGTCGGATTGGAAAACTTCCAAGTTAAAAGCATGCCCAGCAGAACCTTGCAAAAAACAGGTTTGAAAGGAATCTTTAAAACCCTCAGATGATCTACTGTTCTCCTCCATGGAACTGAATTCTGGAAGAGAAAAAAAATAACAAAGCAAACTAGAAAATAGCTGCTACTTTCCAAAAGTAAAGACAACAATCAGAAATAACACTCATACACTTGTAGATAGATAAACATATTAAAAGATTTCTAGAAATTTTGGTTCCTCTGAGATGAAGTTTAAATTACATGAATTACGCAGAAGAGACATTGAAGGCTGAGCACAACCCGAAGAAAGGGCTCACAAATTAAGAAGGGTGTGTATAACAATTTCAACAGCATTATTATGTTTTTATTTTCTGTAACAATTAGATCTGGACTAATAACAATTAGACTCTTAAGATTTCAATTAGACTAACATCAAATTCTTGGCTCTCCTTATACATAAGGTGCATCCTCTTTGCCCATCAACAAGACTTCGAGCTGCACAAGACTGTGCTGCACAAAGGCTGCTGTCACCAGCCCGGGAAAAGCAGCGCCTGATACAGCATGGTCTTCAGAGCAATTAAGCAACTGAAGATTAACTTCTGAGCTTGTGAAACAATCCTTAGCCCACTCCTGACCTATCTCAATCTGCAATTAAGCCATCACAGTGATCTGCCAGTATCTTATCTTGTTGCAAGACGCAAACAACGCAACCTTATCGCTGTACAAGGCACCAACAAGGGTTGTGCTTTCCTGCTGGGGAGGAGAGCAGGGCTGGCTGCCGCAGGGCTGGAGCTGCACTAGCCACACTCAACGCAGCACACAGCTGGCCACTCACATCTGCTGGAAGCCCACATCCGGAGCTCCAGGTGTTTGCAGCACCAGTTTTAAGAAGGACAATAAATTGCTGTTGTCCTGGAACGCTCCTCGTAGGAACGCTCCTCGTACACCGATCCATTCAGGTTCCCATACACCTCGCTGTCAGGATACAGGTAAGTCCTGTTCCACCCTCCCAAACAAGTAAAAGCCCACCCTTTACAGTAACTCTGCAAGATTAGTGCTGTTTCAACATGATGCAGCTGCAAGTACTGGAAGTAAAATAATACATATTATTGCCAGAAGGGTTCGTGACTAACCTCATCTATTTATATGATAAACGTTATTTTCAATATAAAACCAGTCCTTTATGGCCAAAGCTACAAAATGTTTTACTCAGGATCAGTTATGAAAAAGTTTCCACAATGTTTACCACCTACGTAAGTTGAACGGGACAGCAAACACTACAGTATGATGTTACAAAGACTGCTTGTTCTTTTGGGAAATGAGTTAACGCCTAAAAGACATTTTATAGATCTAAAACATATTGTTTATAGCCACTGTAGACTTTCCACACAGTTTTAATGTTATAAAAAATTCCATCTTTTTTCTTTTCATAGGTGGTTGTCCCAAATGTATCGCATGGTATTTAAGACAAAAGGATTTGTGAAAAAAACGTTTCTGGCAAATAAATTACTGCTTTAAAAGACTATTTACGGTTGGAGGGAAACTGTTCATTCATCCACAACTCTGCTACGTATCCCGAAAGGGTGGTGCAGATGAATACGCTGCCTTGTTTATGTTAATATGTAGTTTATAGGCCAGTGTGACCAACTGAAAAGAGTCACTAGAAGTAACTAAGAAAAGCAAGCTTATAGTTAGCAGGTTCTTGACACTCATGGGGTCAACAGTGGGGAAATACTGACAAGCCTGCAAACTACAGACTGGAAACTGTTATTCCACAAAAGCATATGTAGCAATTTTTAAAATGTGGACAGCAACAGAAGAGAGATTTAAGCTGTTGAGCAAAATCCAAAGATATTTGAAATGTTTATGAAAACTGATCACCAAAACTGGAGAGAGGATGAGGACACATGAAGTCCCATCAGGACGCAGCAGAAGTGAAAACAGTGGTGCCCTGGCAAGGTGCCCTACGGCGATCTCGCTGCAAGACAGCAAATCCTTTTTCCTGTCCTTCCTGTAGCCCTGAGGCAAACAAACGGCAACTGGAAACGTTTAGGCCTACGGAAGCAAAAAGCTGCAAAGCCACTGAACAACGTGATGCTGCCTTAATTGAGGTCAGTCGCCTTTGAGTGATACCAGGAGGTGTCAGCCAAGGGCTTAAGTCACCGCACAGAAACCTGAACGAACTCACTGCCCTCACCACCACCTCGCTCTAACACCAGTGTCTGGGTGGAAGTCCAGGTGACAGCAAACATGTACAGATCTCAGCGGTAAAAAAAACAACCAAACAAAACCAACCAAAACAACCAACCACAAAACAAAACCAAAACAAAAAAAACACAAAAACAAAGCATTGCACATTCGTAATGATTTCTGTTTCAGTAAGATACACTTTGTATTTTTTTCCATGAAACTAACAATGTCAAAAAGTTTCACTATTCCAGCATGGAAGTCTGTACAAATGCCAGTCCTTCTAGTAGAAGTAGATAGGTCTTTTACCCTTCTTTTAATTAAAGAGAGTATGATTTCCTCCATTCTTCTGTTCCGTTATTTTAACACTCTTAATGGTTTTCTTCCTTTGAGGTAATCCTGACATTATTCCTCCCATACACCATCGTTACCTTTCTGATCACCTACGGGCTGCCTGCCACATTTCTGCTCTGCACACTGGTCACCCAACCTAAAGAAAATGACTGGTTACAGTATATTCGGGATCCAGACAGAGCATGCCAGTAACGTGCCAAATGTCAAACCGGGATGGAACAACTGACCACGGGCTGGGGCAGCGTCAAGCGCTTCTTGCCCGTGCCGAGGGAAAGACCGACCCAGGTCACTGCACCTTCTGCCAGGCAGACACGCAGCCTTAGGACTGCCTGAAAGTGCCTGGAACATTTGAATTCCTGCCACAACTACGGTAAGACTTCAGGGTAACACTTGTCTTTATTGGTGATTCCCACACATCTTCCTGGCAGCAGGGGAGGGAGCAGGACACCATTCAGACACCCCTGTCCCTATGAAAGCGCCAGCCTCCAGGTGACCCTCGCCAGCACTAACTGCAGAGGCACTGGGCGCAGCGCAGCGCCTGGGCACTGCCATTACCTTCTCAGCGCCGGTAAGCGTCCGTGCGGACATTATTTCTCAAAGCGCCGCTACTGTTGTATCTCTGGAACCGGAGTATCCTTCTGTTTGTCCCTGTCTTCACATGTAACTCATTACCCCCCAAAAGGCTCCGAAAGCACAGCAAACCCAAACGAGACCCATGCCAGCTCACTTGTTCTCACACCACCACAATCCTGATTCCTCAGCTCGGTGGGTTGCCTCTACAAGAAAAGATTTATGCAAAAATACTTAAATTTAGACTGCTTGAAATGCAAGACCAAGTGAAGTATCACGGTAAGAGACTTTAATTATGACATTATTTTCCATGCTATGACAATCTCAT